TGGTATTAAAAGCGATCATTTTTAAAGCCTGTAACGGATAATAAAGGATAATTCTCTTTATTTAGTTTACTATGTGTCTGACTCGCTAGAATTATGAAACGTGCGACCGTCATCCGAGATCTGACCGTGCCATGAGCAAGAGATGATTGCACAGGATACATGTATATAACAAAATAGTTTCCGCTTAATTTCTTGCCCTTGTTCTTTCAATCCAGGGCATTGACCATATTGTTAACTTCTATAGACTCCATAATCCTGCAATGCCTTTGGCTTGAGATCAGTCTATCTGGTGTCCTGTATGGCTGTATTCGGCCAATTCCACTTTTTGATCTACAAAACTTTGCAGGCTGTTTTATATTGACATACTCTCTTATGTATAGATCAGCAGGTCTCTCTCACATAGAAAATAACACAAGAACGCAAAACCTTGTGTTAACCCGATCTAAAGAGAGGGTCAGAATATTCCCTAAAGATGGTATTACCGAGGGAAATGCTATATCTTACATAATGTCTAGCATACAGATAACTAGTGGAGTGGAAAATGAGTAAATTTCTTCAAAGAGATGCCCGACTTACGAATCTATCTTGTCTGTCAAAAAGAGATGAGAAAGGAGTCCCATTTAGAATCTTTATTAATAATAAGAAAGGCATGATGCAGAGAGCATCACTATTTATTTATCAACAATTAAAGCGTTGTATAGAGGTTGTTTGACTTTGTTTTCGCAACTTGGCCATATTGGTCGGAAGACTTAGAGGAACGCACCTAGTCCTGAGTCCATTGTATGCATGATCATTTCCAAAGTCGGACCGTGGACGTGATAAATTTCCAGACGTTTCGCCGGCATCGTAGTCGGCATCTTCAGTGAGTCTCGCCATTATTAGCACCGCACAACAACTCGTCAAAGTGACAAGTGAAGCCGATCCTTTGACCAAACGTGTGCTAAACGTGGTATCTCCCCTTCTACCCTGGGCTCGCTTTGATTAGGTTCAATGTTGAACCACAACGTTTGTGGCTTAGCACACAAGAGACTAGGGCATGGGAAGTCATAGACTTGGTATTAGAGATAGAAACAGGATAGACGCGGCGGTGACTGGAGCTAGTTGGCTGACATTAGGTTTTACCAGATATGTGGTCCATGTAGCAAAGGCGTGACCATGAGGCTTACTCAGAGGCTTTAGTTTCGAATTAGTCACCCAGACGCAAGGGAGGGCGAATAACGCCTCGAGTAGCACAGATGGGGTGGCAGGGGT